CCCTAACCCCCCCCCCTCCCCCGCCCGCCCGCCCGTCCGCCCAGGCCACCCATTAATCGATCCAGGTTGGTCATGGTCCTCGGTAGTCGCTTTACTGCTTCTTGTTGGGCTTAGGACGAGGTCGGCGTCGACGAGCACCACGGTCACTGCAATTTCGGTGACGACCAGTATTGCGCTGCCATGTCCGGCGCGGGCTGTCCCGGCACTGCTATTGGCACGCTCACTCCCGGCGATATGAGGCCTGAAAAACGGTCCCGAGCTCCAATCAGATGCTTAGTTAAGCGGGACAGTTTGGAAAATGTACGCGCGCGTTCGTCGGAACGCGAGGAGGTGGCGTTTTGGCAGTCTCGTCTCCAGTGCGCTGTAATCTTTTACGTGGATGCTGCACTCGTTGGGCGCCTCGACCCCAGCTCGAATAATCCGAGTGGTGAATGGCGGTTTACGAAGTGCCGCAGCCGTACTCTTTTCCAAACTGCTATTTCGGATGGAAGGTTGCGCCGTTATTATTAATAAACGAACGTCGTGGAGATGGTTACATTGTTTTATGGATTCGCGTGCGGCGAACAGAGCTCGAAGCTTCGAAATAGAATTTGAGAGATTAACTCGGGTAAATTATCACTCAAAAGCGTTATCTTATCTGTACATTATCGGCTCGTTTAGTAGTTTTGTACATACAGTCGTCGTTACAATCTATACAATGTAAAATACATGTTATATTACAAATGGCTTACAATTAAGGAAAATTAAACATTCAATGAGTGGAAGTGTACTTTTAATTGTTATAGTAAATACAGTAATGCTGTGACGTTTTTAACACATATCGTTATTAGCTGATGTTAGTCGAATGGATATATTATCGAAGGTTACGTAACGCATACAGGCTTTAACGAGCACGGTAATAGAGACAGACACTTGCACCGACTTTACCTCGTCGATCAAAGATCCGAATGCAACTTTACGCTTCTGCAATTTAGATTGAAGTTGAACATTAAGTTAGATATTAAGATAATGAGGGTGCTTTGGAAATTATGATTGTGAAGAAAAGTAAGATAAATGATTATTAGTTTACTTCATGCACCCAAAAATAACATTTAATCGTTAAAAAGCACTTGGAGCATTAATGACATATGAAAAAAACTAAGGGATACAAATGGTACGGAGCGTAAAAATCTGTTTACTCGGATAGATGGTGTGTGAGCGAGGAGACGAGGAGAGAGATAATGGGACAACAAAAGGAAAGAAGTAAAACTATGTGCCGCGGGATTGGCGATAGGCAATTGTTTGAGAGAAAAGCCGTGCTAATTAGTTGTTTATATTCTTGAATATAAACCGAATATTCTTGAGTTTAATGTTTTTGTTAGAGCGTGAGAAGTGCGCAATACGGCCTAGGCTTCTCCATAAGTCCGATAAGGATGGGATATGATGGAACCGATCGGGCATTCGGACGGGACGAAGCATGTAAAAACACGAGGAATCGTAACGGCAATAACAACAATAATGACCATAATAACAAATATTTATAATAATGATAGTAGTAATGGTAATAATAATAATAATAATAACGATGATGATGATGATGATGATGATGATGATGATGATGATGATAATTATGGTAGGGCGCCACGAGCGCCATACCATAACGACTCGGAATTGGCGATTTAGCGATTGAGCGGATTGTTACGAGTGCACCAGAGTCCCGTCGAGGTCGCATGAATTCAAGGTCGTTAGGGTATACGAACCTCGGGATGGCGCATGCAAAATGCCTTTGTTCCATTACCGAGCTGCGGCGTCCTATGCCAGCGTTATCGTACTTATACAGTAATTCTAGATTATCCTTTGTCTCTATCCTATTAAAAGTGTGGGTGTAGGAGGCGCTCAGTAGCGGTAGTATCCGACGTGGTGGTAGCCCGCGCGATGTTCCTTGGGCTAAAGTGCAAGCAGCGAGTGCAGCGAGTGCGGTAGACACTCACCGGTCGAGCTCGCCGGATGGTGATGGTTCTGGTGGTGGTGATTGTATTGGTTGAGGCCGGCGGCTGCAGCCGCGGCAGCGGCCGCGTGGTACGGCTGCGTGGGGCTGCAGCTCGGTCGCGCCCCGTAGCCGAGGTGTAGAGGCTCGTAGCCGGCGGCTGCGGCGGCGGCAGCGGCCGCGGCCGCCCGCCCAACCCCGACCCCGACGGCGCAAGAGTAGCCGTTGTCGCGTTGCTGGAGGCAGGCGCCCGGGGACGGGCCGACGGTCATGCCGACGGTCATGCCCATTGGGCTCATGCCCGAGGGGCTCGGGCTCGAGCCGACGCCGCCCGCCGAGAGCGAGGACATTAAGGACATTGAGGCCGCGTGCTGGCCCCCGCTCGGGTGGTGATTGTTGTTGTTGTTGGTGGTGGGAGCGCCGCCGGAACCGGCCCCACCCGACATCCCGAACGACGGCATCGACGTCATCGGGCTGTAACATAGATAGGGTTTGGTTTCGTCGGTCGAACGCCGCCGTGTGAATGGAATGCGAGGAACACGATGGGGATAAGGATGGCAGGTGATGATGGGGCACACTCACCTGTAGGAGTCGGGCATACTGGGAATGCCAGAGTAGACAGAGGGAGCGAAACCGTGATGACTTCTCGGAGGTGAGGGAGCCTGTGGCGGCTGGCCTCCGTGTATTCCCGAGGTTGGTGGGGGCGTCGGATGTCCGAGGGTGACGCCGCCACCGTGCTGCTGCTGTTGCTGCTGCTGTTGTTGCGGATTGTCCCTTCGTTGGGTGCGTAGCTTCTCCTCACGCCGCCACTTTGCGCGTCGATTCGAAAACCAGACCTGAGTTTATTGTGGACGAGACAGAGAGACGAATTGGTTTGTCAATCGCTATACTACACATCGACGATAGGCAGAAACAGACAGATAGATAGATAGATAGATAGATAGATAGAGAGAGAGAGAGAGAGAGAGAGAGAGAGAGAGAGAGAGAGACGGAGTATTGGAGGGGAACACCAGAGGTAGAGGAAGACATAGATAGTTGTAGAAGTCATAGTTGTAGTACAAGAGAGAGAGAGAGAGAGAGAGAGAAAAGTTTTGCAGACGAGGGAACGAACGTGAAGGGAATATTAAGTTACTCGAGGAGGTGTACTCGCGCGTTCTTTTTTCAACATTAAACTTTACAAAAATCTTTATTCTAGTACAACACGAATTTCATTCCAATAAACTCTCTACTAATCGCGAATCATTTATTAGTGAAAAAAAAATCAAACAATATATCAAGCGAATCAACATTGTGCTATAATTACTCGTATAATTACTAGCATTTTTGTACTTTTCTTTGGCAATTATTAATAAAATTCATTTATATTATTATTAATTAGCAATCGGACGTGATGAAAAGTCATAGAGTTATTATGGCGAATACAACCTCCTCTTTTGAATGGATGCTTAAATGTATTATTAAAAGCTTTGTCTAACTACTGTGTGCAATGCAGTGCATAAAATTACTAAAATAAGGTTATTATTACTCATTACTTGTTATGTTTAATTAATATGAATATATGATCAATGACAATAACAGTTTACTAATATATAATGGAATAATTATTCAAAAGCGCATAAGTTTTCAAGCTAATAAAGCCTTTACAAGTCAAATTGCGTTTCAATGAATGAAACTTGTATATACTGAAATTAATATAAATTTGACGATATCTGTGAAAATTACGTTAGATCATACATACGAATATACGACTTACGAATATAATTAACATTTTCTTTCGATTAAAATTAAAATTTCATAATACGGGCAATAAATTTCTCATAACTTTCGCCCAATACGATATCAACAAATTAATAACTATGCTGAAGATTATGTGTTACATTATCACACAAGTACAAATTCTACATTAAAATTATCTAATACATGCTCAATATTAAATATTTAAAATGTTAGAAAGTCGAATTAAGCTTCTAGACAAATTAGCAATTGTCGCTGTACGAAAATTTAACTTATCGCCAAATCAAATAATCGTGACGATAATTTTATAATAATGACATTGCATAATTTACTTGGGCATTAGGATAAGAATTTTCTTGAATTTATTCGAACAAATTTTTGCTCACCGCTAATAAAGTACAAATAAGGAAAGTTCAGACATTCGAAATCGTAAAACACAAGGTTTACTACTGATTACCTGTGTTGGTTGAAATTTAAATTAAAATATAAGCAAAACGGTTTTACAACATTTTTGCTTTATTTTATTCAGAAGGTATAATAACACAGCTTAAAAATATTTTGTAATACGTATAGTTGGCTACTACTTTTTAAATTATTTAAAAATCACGTCGCGTTCGTTAAAAGAGTTTTTCACCTTTTTCACGAAATCCAATATTATGCAAAGATGCTAATGCACCCCGATACTCTCAAGGACGTTAATAGTGAAAAATGTATCTTAACTTCAGTTCAAGCGTGCGGACTATTGTTTTTTTGACAGTTTGCATAATCGATCGACTTGAATTAAAAAGCATGAAAAAGCCTTTTACATCGAAGATGATTTTTCTTTAACGACAAGCCCAAACATGCCATCTACCGCTCCTTCTTCACATACATCCAACGAGCATCCAACCAACGGCACACGCAGCTTAAAGCGCAATCACCGTCCCAAGCTCACCTGTATCCGAGCCTCGGGTAAGCCGATCTTGCCCGCGAGCCGTTCCCTGGCGAACACGTCCGGGTAGTGAGTGCGCTCGAACTCCTTCTCCAAGGCGTCGATCTGCTCGTTGCTGAAGCTCGTACGGTTCCTCTGCAGCTTGCGCTTAAGTCGTAGACGCGCCTGATCGTCGTCGGCGCCGCCCGAGACACTGCCGGCGTTGCTGTTGTCGCCGCCGCTGTTCGTCTCGTCCGAGTGAGCGCCGCCCTCCAGCTCAGCCACTGCAACAATCGAGATAAATTATTCTCCCGGCACTAGATCCTGGAGGCCTCGGCCCTCCCGCGACGATGACCCATCATCGTACATTATCGCATAATGCATACATAATCATCCATCGCCTTCATATTTCCCGACGATATTGCGATGATCCGCTTTTGCTTATTTTCTACCCTGTAATCTTAAACTCGCTTAGTTGGAAAAGTTCTTTAAGACTTTTCTTGCCCATGACAAACAGGTCGCTGAATTTTTGCGTGGGCCGTGTCAATGTGCGCGTGGCATGCGTCATTAGACATAGACGCGCGTCGTTTGCACGGTAGCCGAGTAAACTTCATAAATTTAACGCTGTATTTAATGCCCAACGAGCGATAAATCTGTGCGCGGCCGAGAGAGAGAGAGAGAGAGAGAGAGAGAGAGAGAGAGAATGAAAGTAAGGGAAAAGGAAAAAGTGGCGGTACGCGCGCGCGAAGTTCGGCGCCATGACATTAACACACGAAAATTGCGCGTCGTTCCAAACGAGAGATGGACAGAGACAGGGAGGGAGAGACGGAGAGAGAAAAAAGTAGTTGGGAACGAGGGGGGACATAGAGGCACGAAATTACCGCGTTAAGGGACGGGCAAAAGTAGGTGTAGCTGGAGCGAGGACGAGGCGAGACGTATGTACGTGCGAATGAAAAAGCGCGGCGAGATAAAGCGAGCGGGAGAAAAAGGTAGAGGAAGCTACTGACAAAGAGAAAAGGAGAAGATGAGATAATGCGCGCGAACGGGAACGAAACGGGTGGCGTGGAAGCTTATCGTCGCTTTCTGGCTGAACGCGCCGAGACGTCAGTGGCTTTTGGATCGGGAAGCTCGCCGCCGTTGCCGCCGCAGTCACCACCACCGCTGTCGTCGTCGCTGTGCTTTTGCCACGGCCGCTGCCCCGGTGATGGGATGGATAGGGAGGGCCTGGTCGAGAGGAATGGCGGGTGAATGTTGGAGGCCGCAAGGAAGTCGCGATAAGACGCCGAGCGGCCCGACGCCGCCGGATGGGCGCAAGCTCGTCGAGCCCTCGCGTCCCCTACTTTGCGCCCTGCTTCCCTTCGGGACACGTGTTTTTATTCGAGCTGTCGCAGCTTCTTTCGCCGGGCGAGTCTACGGCGCCAGGAGCGAATGGCCCTCTCTCCTCCATCTCCTCTTGGCGATTTTTCCTCGACGACGCGAGTCTCGAGGGCTTCTTACGGCGATTCCGCGCTTCCTCGACACGAGTCTTGGAACTGCGGAATTATCGCCGATTACGGAATCACGATATCGCAATTTCGTCTTGAGCTCAGTCTCAATTCCTCATGCTCATGTCGATGAAGCCATAAACGATCGTTGACCGGGGGTTAAAAGTGTCATCCCGCGCGAAAACCTCTGCCCAAACTATTTTACCGACTGGGAAATACAGGAGAAGGCCAGGAGAAGAATTAACAGAACAACAACATTTACGAGACCGAAAATGCCAAGCGGTCTCCTGTCGACCCCTCTGCCTTGCCGTCCCACGTGCAGCCACTCGCGACACGCTATCCCGAAGCTTTGCGAGGATTGGGCTCGTATCATCAACTGCAGCGCCGATCCTCGCCGCTATCGCCCGATAATAACGGCAAGCTATTAACGATCTCCCGGATGATACGATAGGGTCGACGAGGCGCTACGGATTGTCGGTACGATCATCTCTGCTTCCCCCCTGCAAAATCTAACTTCAGCAGGTTGGACCGACTCGAGTGTCCTAACTTCCACAACACCTCCCAAACGCCACAACCTGCCAAATTGATAATTAGCGCCAGTGTTTTTATCGGCTTGCCTCTTGACTCTTGACTCACTCGAGCCAAGAGATAGATCTCCGTCTCGTCCTTCTTTCGACCAACGCGTCATTAATCATCACATCGCCTTGACGACGCTCCTCCTTATACGAATGCCAATTTAAGAATAAAAGTAGCCAGGCCGAGTGCTTGATCGGATTCCCTTCCGATAACTCGACATTCTCATCGTTTCGTCAATTGCGTTTCTAGCCTCGCGTCAATATTCGACCAGATGAAGCCCGACAACCGTTTTCCGAGTTAATAAATATATATATATATATACAGAGAGAAAGAGAGAGAGAGAGAGAGAGAGAGAGAGAGAGAGAGAGAGAGAGAGAGACAGAGACAGAGACAGCTTATGGGGTTATTGGATTTGGGAGGATGTGGGGAGGGAAATCGCGCGTGCTTTTGTTAATACGAATTCGCGACGGGTATACAAATGTTGGAGGCGGTTGGTCGAGCCCCATACAAATGCAAATACGCGCGATTATCCCGAGACCGCGTAAAGTATATGGAGCCACGCATGCCAACACCCACAATTAAATCTTACAAGTTCCTTTCTCATTTTAGACTTTGAGATTCGGAGTCGAGTCTGTTGTCGTGTATACTTGCCAGCCTCTGCCGACGCCGAATCAAAGTGCGTATAATAATAATAATTAGAGAGCAGTCAGGAAGAGCTCGTAGCCAGAGCGAGACGATTATCGTTACTCAACAAGCTGTGCCTTAAGGGGATTTATCGTTGAACTTGGTGGGCGCCATTTTTAATGGCCGAAGAAGATCGGACGTTGAATTAGAGGAGGGAAAAAGCTTGGGCGATGCGTCGATTAACGCTAATTCGTTATGCGTCAGTGGCTGACCTCGGTGCGCCAAATACGGGAGCCGAAAAAATAAAGAGATTTAACGAGACGGCTGTTTCGTATACAAATACGCTAAGTCGGGAATAGCATTTGATGACGAGGGGTATGGGGACGGGGTTGGGAAGGAGTAAGTAGAGAACGAAACGAGGCATTAAACATCGTGGAAAACGATGCGCCACGGCAGTGTTAAGAGTATCGCGGTACGAGCGGCGTACATAGCTCTCCTACTTATGCAAAAGCTCTTGGGGTAGCTCAGGGCTCTTGACTCGCTGTTTAATGACTTTGAGAAGACGATCTCCGTGACTTCCGTCCTACGTCTTTTCCACCCTTGGCGTCGTAGTTGCGGGCTAGTGGGTGGGGCGCCGGCAGCGGCGGTGGCGTCGGCCCACCGGAAGTTCGGCAACGAACTCGCATAATCCGCGGGCGCGCGTGCGAACTTTACTGCTCTCCTTCTCGAGGATCGACTCGGGATTCCGAGGAGGAAGAGAGATAGCGATCTTAGGATAGACTGAATAACGTGGCTGTTTGCCAGTTGCCGCTTGCCGCAGTAATACTCATGCCACGGGCTAAGCTTATCTCTGTCGTTTATAACAAACATATAGCCTCTATTACAACTCCCCTTACCGCTCCATCCTCCCCCCCCCCCCAAACCCCGCCTTCTCCCACGCCTCGACGATCAACTCGATACTACTCTATCTCTCGCTACTTACGTATAACGGGGATGTGAGAGTATTATTTCATGAAGGTATCTAGATTTGGAGAAGCCCTTGCCGCAGCAGGTATTTTCATATAATCTATCGCGATGGAATGTGACTGTAAATGGTAAATTAAAAATAACGTTCCTCTAACACACCCCAAATAGCTTGCTTTTCATTAAAAAATCCAGCAATTAGAATGTCCTAATAACCATTAATATCTCGTCTTGTTACTTTAACTATATAATAATAATAACAACAACAACGACAACACTACCAACAACAACAACAACGACAACGACAATAATGTTTGATTAAAGGCGTATTTAGCTCGTGAACTTTACGTGAAGAAGAATGAAAATGTACTGGAATTAAATTCAAAATTATGTATTCTATTCCATGAAAAATTTAATTACCTTTAATTTAATCGATAATATTGTAGCATAATAAAATATTTATAATTTATATGAAAAAAGCAGTTTATGAAATTGAGTAAAATCTTACACTTGAATAATTATAAGTCCCCTATCTTAATTAATGCAATGTCTCGCAGTAAGACCAGCGAATCGAGCAAAGTATTTTTTAATTACACACACATAGCGTTATTTCGCGTGTTTTATATATTGAAAATGTTTTATAATTTGTAAATAAAAGAAAATTAAATTTAATAATACGTAAATGTTCATTAATCTAATTTGGTGAAAATATATAATTGGAAACCGTCGACTTTATAATGCGAAAAATCAACGGGCAATGTCTTTTTTTTTTTTTTTTTTTGCAACCGATTTAAAAATAAATAATACGAAAATTACGTTAATTAGAGATTTTTAATAATTAACATTCACGCGTTTAAATAAACATTTTTTCTCTATTATTATACTTGATACTTTCTATTTGAGATCGCGTAAAATTCCATTAATGGGCGTTAAGGCGACGGTACAGATCGGTAAATAATCCATTAATTTTATGTTGAATCGTGAGTTTCCGTATGTAATATTATCGCGTCATTAAATATTTAGTATTGTCTGAAGCATCAAGATCATAAAAAACAAAACAAAAAAAACAAAAAACAAAAAAAAAACAAAAAGATAATAGGAACGAAAGTACGATTACAATGGAATAAAAGTCAACAAACTTTATGAGCTGCTAGTTCGTGTCTGTAGTGCGTATAAAAGTATTTCAGCTAAATGGTCAAATTTGAAAATATGACGACTCGTCGAATGAAAATCCAGACAATTAAGCGCAATGATAGCGCACAAGACAAGCCAGACTCATGCAGTCATTTCCGAGTGTCGAATGCCGCTACGTAACGACAAAACGGATTGTCGGGAAAAAAAAAATGCTTCCCCGCCGAAGGAGATGAATTTTTTCGTCAATGTCGTAAGAGCCGTAAAAGCGCGCGTCCTTCTGGCCACGGCATACGAGCGAGAAAGAAGCGAAAGATAGTCGCTCCCTCGTTCATAATAATCCACTCCCGCCCTGCATCTATATACGCGTGCTATCTCGCTCTCCCCGCCCTCCCTACCCCCTATCCCACTTTCTCGTGATAACTCTCATAGTCTCTCGCTCGCTCACCCCCGTTCCATGACGTTACATCCGCCAACCGGGGCGCGAGTTCGCTCGAGCGTGATGG